GCCCCGGAGCAGCCGTGGCCCGGGCCCGGGGCCAGACGGACTTGGGACAGGGCGGGCGATGCCCCGCCCCCAAGTACCCCCCCMAAAAAGCCAAAAAACCCCCAAACCTCCCTTCTCCCCATCCCTTGTTCTTGCCCTCCCCTTCAATGGGATTTGGGGGGGGGCGCATGAAGCCCCCAGGCCACGCCCCCTGGAAATTATTGGCCGCGGCGGAGGCGGCAGACCCTCAGGCCGCGATGCCATTGGAYGATCCTCTTTCCCCAATCCCCTCCCATTCCAAAAATAACGCCAAAAAACCTCTCCGAGACCCCCCTCACCTGACGTCCATCGGAACCGCGTCTGCGCCGCCGCCCCCGCCCCCGCCGCTTGTTAAGGGACGCGCCGCGTGACGTCACCGCGCACGACCGCGCCCCCCTTGCTGCGCCCAATCAGCGGCCGCGCTCTCCCGGCCGCGCCCCCGCGTCGCCATGGAAACCGCCGCGGGAGAAAGGGCTGGACTGGCGGGAGCAGCGGCCAATCAGCGCGCGGCGTGCGGAGAAGCCGACGAATGGGAGGGCTTGGAGGAGTGGGCGGGGCTCGGCCTCGCCGGGATTTGCAGGAGGGGTTGGGAGGAAATCAAGTGATGGCGGCGCGAGAAAATGGCGGGGCGGGGACGGGCCCGGAGCAGCCGCGGGGACGTTGCCTGGCAACGCCGGAGGAGGTGTGGGGATCACGTGGGGCCGGGAGGGCCAATGGGAACGTGAGGAAGAACCCGGAAAGCGGCGCGGGCGTTGCCCGGCAACGGCGCGAGGTGGGAGGTCACGTGGTTTGAGCGGACCAATGGGAGCGCGCGGAGGGGTGAGCCCGTCGCCCGGCAACGCACCGGGAGGGTCACGTGACTCCGCGGAGCCAATGGCGGCGCGCGGCAGGAGGAGGTGGTGTGTRGCCACCGTCACGTGACCCCGCCGGGCCAATCGAGCGGCGAGGGGCGTGGCCCGGCCGCTGTCATGGCGGATGGGGAGCGATCGCCGCTGCTGCCGCCCGAGGCGGTGCCGGGGCCGGGCGGGGCCGGGGCCGGCGGTGAGACGGGGCGTCGTCACTCGGGAGGGGCGGGGTTTATCTGGGGGCGCGGCCTAGCGAGGCGGGAAAGCCGGAGGGGCACGGCTTGGGAAGAGGGGCGTGGTTTCCATGGGCGCGGTTTAGTCCCTGAGCCGCCGTTCTCCGTCCGCAGGAGGCGGGGGGGCGGGGCCCGGCGAGGCCCCGCCCCCTTACTCGCCTTTGGGCAGCCCCGAGGCAGTGGGGGCGGGGCCTCCGGCGGTCACGTGCCGCGTGTGCCAGCGGCCAATCAGCGTCGAGGGCAAGACGCACCAGCACGTGGTGAAGTGCGGAGGGTGTGGCGAGGCCACGGTGAGGGGCGGGGCCGGGGCCTAAACGGGGAGGGGCTAAGAGGGGTGGGGCTTTGATTGGGTGGGGCTGGCGTGGGCGGGGCTTGAGGGAGAGGATGTGAACAGGGATGTGGAATGAGGGCGTGGGGTGGGGCCAAGGGTTGGGAGGGGTCGGGCTTGGGATGGTCCATGGGCTTCAAGGAGGCGTGGTCTGATGTGGGTGGGGTCGGAGGGGCGGGGCTCCAGGGAGAGGGAAGGGGCACGGCCTGGAGGGTGTGCCTGGGATGGGTGGGGCTCGAGAGCATGTCCCCTGAGGCCCCGCCCCCTTTGCGGCGGCAGCCAATCCGTACAGCCCCCGGCGGAAAGAAATACGTGCGGTGCCCCTGCAACTGCCTGCTGGTGTGCAGGGCCTCGGCCCAGCGCATCGCCTGCCCACGGCCATACTGGTCAGACTGGGAGAACTGGGAGAGCTGGGGGGATGGGTTGGGAGGGGCTGGAAGGGGGTGGGAGTGACTGGGAGGGGCTGGGGGGTGTTAGGGGGGTCTGGGATGGAGTGGAAGGGAGCTGGGGTGGCATTCTGGGACTTTAGGAGGGACTGGGAGAGATCACTGGGCCATACTGAAAGCACTGGAGGGTTCAGTGGGCCATACTGGGAGTACAAGCCATCACTTACGGGGTTACTGGGCCATGCTGGGAGCACTTCAGGAGGTCACTGGGCCATACTGGGAGTACTGGAGGGTTCACTGGGCCATACTGGGAGTACAAGCCATCACT